AAGCGCTTTATTAGACCCGTCATTAAAAGTACAAAGCTTTGATACTGGAGATACCATCTAACTGCGCTCAGGTGCTCGGCAAATCCTCCCAGGCAGAGCGGCTCATTCAAAACCTTTCAGAAATGGTATTTTGTCCTTATTCTCTTTAATCATGAGGCTGGATTAAAAAATTAGGGTTTTTTTTAAAGAAAAAAAAAACCCACAAAAAATACTGAATGATTTAAAACTGGAGAAGGAGCAAAGAATTTGCAAACTTCATCTCATTTCATTAGAATAGGAGGCAGAAAAGGGGAACAGATTTAATTTTCCCCATGAGAAACCTGAATACGCCTGAGCGAGGATGCCCCTGGGAGCCCCGAATGCGCCGGTGCCCCCCTCGGATCACCTTTGCTGGCCCCCCAGCTGCCAAACCAACGCGGCGAGTGACCTGCCGGAGCCTTGGGAGGGTCCCTCGGCAGCCTGGGACCGAAAATCCTGTGCCGGATAACAAGAACAGGCTGAGCTGCCACATTTCTGTCGATACTCCTGGTCAGGTTCCTGCACCGAAGGAAATATCTTCCCCCACCCCCCCTCCAAGCGCAGCAAATCATGGCAGAACAGGGATTTATTACATTTGATTGAACTGGAGTAGATATAAGGGGGTTTTTTTTATGTTTTTCTCTATTCAAGGTAGGGAAGGAAGGCATTTTCAGGCTGCTCTTTGCAATTGTGAGACTAAGAAATGAATTGGACATAGTGGGTTATAGATGGAACAGAAAGCTGTTAGCTGTATTCATGGAAATTTAGGAGGAAAAAAAAAAATAATCGCTTATCAGAAGGCTCCATATAGCAGAAAGAAAACCGGTGCCTTCATTTCCAAACCACACACCACCTTGCACACAGTATTTTTTCCTAATCAAGCCCCTCCAGTCCCAGTTACTCACCCTTTTTAGCAGATGTTAGGAATCCTTCACACACCTTAATTACTTGCTTCTGGCATAAATGGTGCTACTGGTATTAATTAAATATAACACCACTACAAAGCAGTGGAAATATTTGTTTAGAAGAGAAAAATGTAAGGTTAAAAAAGGGAAAAAAAGACCTGGTAGTGAAAATAAGAATGAACTAACTACAAGGCAGGCAGGTGATGGTGTGGGACCTGAGATAAACAGCAGGGAAAGA